GCTCCCCGATGGCTGGGGCCTCTACGTGCGATCGTCAACGGGACCCGCTGCGAGACCTCCCGACGCCGCCCTACGCGGCGATGGCGGAGAGGGATCCCCACTTGACGGAGAGGGACCGCAGGGTGACGTGGCGGAGGCTTGCCAGGGCGACGGCGGCGATAAGATCTTTGGCTCGAGGGCACTGCAAGGTAGTGGAGGAGCTGAGGATCGACTACCCGCCATCCACCTGGTCGAGCGCGACGCCGACACAGAGGACGATCATCAACGAGCTCTGGTCGAAGTTGGTGCTGAGAGCCGACTGGGGGAGCATCAGCGATGGCAGGGCGGTTCTCGGCCGCCTGGGCGCGGGAAGAATGATGGACTATGGCGGTGTCGGGCAGACGGCACGGACAACTGGACGACTGAAGAAGGGGGACCTGTGCGACCTCTTGGCGGAGCAGGTGTCGGTCCCCCGACGGGGCGTCAGGGGCCTACCCATATCGAAGCTGTCGGCGGCCGCGACCCCCTACCTAGAGAACGTGGCGGGGCTCATGCTGAGGACGGACGACGAGATCGACTGGGACAAGTATCGGGGGATGACGAGCTACTGCGACCCAGGGTGGAGGAACAAGACGAACCGTCTGGAGCTGAGCCTCCGCATGTGGGAGGGGGGCATGTTGACGTACGTCGACCACATCGAGGAGCGGGTGGGCGTGTTCACGGTGGTGAAAAACCTGAGTCAGGACGACGAGGGCCGAGTGGAGTCATCGCGGCTCGTCTGGGACTGCCGGCGTCTCAACCTGAGGTTTCGGAAGCCACCGTGGACGGGACTGGGGTCACCGAGTGCGCTGAGTTCACTGGATTTGTCTCCCGACGTGCTGGGTACGAAGTAGCTCTTCTCGTTCGCGGGGGACATTCCAGATTGGTTTTACAGGCTGAGATGGAACAGCAAGTTGGCGGAGTTTTGTGTGCTGGAGGACGTCTCCCCGAGGGAACTGTGGAAGTATTCCTGCGAAGTGGGGAGGCCGATAGAGGAGCCCTCGGCGACGAGCGTGGGTGTTGGAGCCATCGCACCCGTGATGGGTCATTCCTGGGCTGTGTTCTTGGCCCACTCCTGCCTCACCGAGTGCCTCAGGGACGTGCAGGGCTACGAGGTGGCGGAGCTGGCGCACGGGCGGCCGACCCCCTCCTTCGAGAAGGCCTCGCTGATCCTGATGCTCTACATCGACGACTACATCGGTTCCAGGATCCTGGACGCGAAGGACGGCGACATCCAGATAGACAAGGACATCGTCAAGGGCTCTCTCGAGGCGAAGGGTCTGCAGGCTCACAAGGAGGATTGGGGGCCTGGGATGACGAGGGGGCTAGGCCTGACTATCCGAGGGCGTCCATACACCGTCATGATACAGCCCGAGAAAATGAAGGAGCTGGTCTTGGCGACGGAGGCCATCGTGATAGCTGGGAGCACCACGCCATCGCGTCTGTCGTCTTTGCTGGGGATGTGGACCTGGTGTCTTATGATCTCTCGGTCTGGCTTCGCGATCCTCAGCGCGATCTACGCGTGGGTGCAGGAGCACATGGGCGACGAGTGGGACGTGAACCTGAGGCTCCCCCAGGACGTCGTGTCCGAGCTGATGGCGCTGGCGAGCCTCTCGGTTTACTTTACCTCCAACCTCGAGGCCGACTGGCACCCCAAGGTGTTCATGACGGACGCCTCCGAGGAGGGGTACGGCATCGTTCAGACGGAGGCCACTTCGAGAGAGTGCCGCGCGGAGATGAGCAAGGGGAACCACCAGGTCTGGGAGATGAGGACCGAGGAGGTCTTTGGCGAGATCGAGCAGGAGATCGAGATGGCTGGACAGGAGGACGACGAGGTCATCCACCCCCCAGCGGGGACACCAGGCTTCCTCGAGCTCTACTCGGGCGTCGAGGCGCTGACGGACGACCTGAGAACGATCGAGGGCATCTGGTGCGAGGCCTCGGAGATCCTGCGCGGCCCGAACTACGACCTGATGATCCCGAGCGAGCTCGAGCGGCTCTTCGGACGGATCAGGAGGCGCTGGTGGTGGCTGGTGCACCTGCAGCCTGGCAAGGATGCTATCGCACAGCACCTGGCGCTGGAGGTGGCCAAGCTGATGCGCAAGGAGGGCCTCGTCTTCACGGCGGTCCTTCGGCACGCCCGCTTTATCGACGAGGTCTGGTCCGAATTTTTGGAGCTGGACGGGGTCTACGGCTACACCTGCGGCGACTCGTTATCGGAGGCGCTGCTGGTGACCAACGACAAGCGGTTCTCGAGGCTTCGCAGTGTGGAGGAGCCTGGGACCTGGTCAGGCACAGTGGAGACGGACTTCAACTACGGCACTGCCTGGCGGAAGTTGCACGGCGAGACCGTGGCGGAGATCTTGCCCGATTGGCGCAGAGTCTCGGCGGGGGCCCAGGCGAGGATCGAGGAGGGGCAGCTGAAGATCGTGCGAGCGAGGGGTCAGGCCCTACCCGCTTCTGCCTCATGGACGACGGTTTCGAGGTGGGCCTTACTGTTTCAGGGGAAGTGGGCCAATGAGGAGCACAACGACATCCTCGAGCTGCGCACGATCGTTGCTTTGCTTCGTCACCTTTCCCGATCGAGGCCTTGCTGGGGCAAGAGGGTACTGGTGTTCTCGGACTCCTTGGTATCCATGGGAGTGCTGGCCAAAGGACGTTCATCAGCGGCTGGCTTACTGCATCTGGCGAGGCAAGCTGCAGCAGCGGTGCTGGTTTGTGGCATCAAGTTGTGTACGAGATGGGTTGCCTCGGAAGACAACGTGGCCGACGGACCGAGTCGTGGGCTGGGGATCGGAGCGGCAGAAGCGACGAAGGAGGAGCACAAGTGGCGTCACACCCCGAAGGCGGTGAGGGTGATGCTGGGGAGGCTATCGACGGGATGAATTACCTGGTGGAGCTGGCCGAGGCGCGGGAGGGGTCCGAGGAGTGGGTCTTCGGGCACCATCCCCCGCGGAGTACTTCGACGAGGTCACGGCCATCTTGTCTCTTCCTGATCATCTTCGGCCTCGTGCACACCGTCGGAGCTGTTCGTTCGACATCGAGACCACCGCCCTTGAAGACCAGGGGAGCGATGGCTTGGAAGAACGCGGCCACTGACACGTTGGAGTTCAACAACAGATTGGCGATCCACGCGGTCGACGACAAGACGAATGTGGTGTACGAGAAGGCTGTCAGGGAGTTTCTCATCGACACCAAGAGGCTGGGCGTTCCGTTCGAAACGGTGCACCAGCGCGACAAGGCCTTGGCATCATACCTCTCGGATCTATGCTACGTACGTGGACTTGGGTATGCGAGTGGGAGTTTGGCTTTCAATGGCTTCATGCACATCTTCGAGGATCATCGTAACTACCTGCCCCTCGCCGCGAGGGCCCTCAAGGCGTGGGAGAGGCAGCAGCAGGGGCAGGAGGGGCAGCCCATCCCTATCGAAGGGGTCGCGCTGATAGTGGTGGATTTGTGTGAGCGCGGGCTGCCCCTCGAGGCCTGCGCCGTCATCGTGCAGCTGGACGGCTGGCTACGAGAGCAGGACTGGGCCGGCCTTCGGAGGCGTGACGTGAGCACGGACAAGATGGGGCGCATGGCCTTGCTCCTGGGGGACCGCGCCAGGGGCGAGAAGGTCAAGACGGGGTCGGGCCAGGGCGTCGAGCTGACGACGGAGCTCGGCAAGCAGATCATGAAGGTCTTGATCTCCGACCTCGCCCCCGACGAGTGCGTCTTCCCCATCGCCCCCGACAAGTACAGGCGCGAGTGGAACCGCTCCCTCGTCAGGCTCGGGCTCGAGCAGTTCGGGCCCCCGCATGGACTCAGACACGCGGGGGCCGCACACTTTGTGGCGGGAGGGGGAGACTTGGAGGTCGCACGGAGAAGGGGGCGCTGGAACACCTCCAGTGCCCTCCAGAGGTATACGAAGTCGTTCATCCTCATTGCGAGGCGCAGCATCATGAGCGACGCCAATCTTCGAGACGGCGAGGAGTTCTGGCGGGCCCCAGGCACGTTCATGGCACAGGCGCTGGGGAAGTCCAGGGTGGCGCAGAAGCCACTCACTGCTCGTCTGATAGTTATGCTGAAGGGGCTGCAGGGCGACTCGCTGCCGCTCGGCTCCACCGAGGAGCCGCGCCCAGAGGTGGCGAGGCCCAGGTCGGGCCTCAAGGCGCAAATTAGAAGGCGCAGTACGTAGCCTCACTTCTCCATTTAATATGAAGAATGTTGTATTTTCGGGGATCCCTAAATATGTGCCTAAGCTGGGGGGGTCAGGACTAGTTACCTACTCCTTCGCCCCTCCCTCCCTCCCCCCCCCTGGTGTGCTACGTTCTGCGCAGTGCAATCTAGATAGGGCCTGCGGCCAGAAGGGGCTGGTTGGCCTGTGTGGGGTCTTCCGCACGTGATCTGTTTTTGTTGGCCTCGAGGGCCCCCTGGAGTGCCAGGTCAGGCACCGACTTTTTGGGGCCCTCGGGGCCCGCCTGCAGGTCCCGAGCGGGATCGATCGAACAAACGTTGGGGGCTGGACGCCCCGCGCTCGCCCGTGTCTGTTTTCTCCTCGTCTTCTGCTGCTGTGTCGGGTATTCGCAGTTATCCTTTGAAGCCTGACGGCGCCGTGGGCGCCGCCTGCCCCCCTACAGCTCTGGCACGAGGGATCCTAGGACAGCATAGTTTAAATAAATGTTATTGTAACGCTCTTTTATACTGCTTGTTCCCCCCCCTCGTGCCGTCCTCTTCTGTGTCCTCCCTCGGCTCTGCCGCCCACAAGATTTCGGCCCCGCCCACCCTCCTCTCGAGGGGAGGGGTCTTCCGCACGTGATCTGTTTTTGTTGGCCTCGAGGGCCCCCTGGAGTGCCAGGTCAGGCACCGACTTTTTGGGGCCCTCGGGGCCCGCCTGCAGGTCCCGAGCGGGATCGATCGAACAAACGTTGGGGGCTGGACGCCCCACGCTCGCCCGTGTCTGGTTTCTCCTCGTCTTCTGCTGCTGTGTCGGGTAGTCGCAGTTATCCTTTGAATCCTGACGGCGCCGTGGGCGCCGCCTGCCCCCCTACAGCTCTGGCACGAGGGATCCTAGGACAGCATAGTTTAAAAGGGCCCAGCATGGGCTTCGCCTTGACGCGCTGGGTGACAAAGGAAATCCGAATCAATCTGGATTATGTCACCCGGCAGGCCCCTTTCCCTCGGCGCGCCCTGCCCGGCGAGCGCGCGCGGGGCATTGACCTCGCTGCCCAAGAGGCGAGCGAAACTACAAAGGGCAGATCGCCCCCACTGCCCCCATGGAAAAGCTGCCTTGGCCCAGAGAACGTCTGCTGCGCAGCGCGGAGGTTCTCGCCCTCTTCGCCCTCGGCACAGCGGACTGCGGCGCCGCGACTAAAAGAAAACGCGGGCCAAGATGATGTGACAAAATAGCGCGGCGCGCCTGATGCAGGACCTCCATCCGTCTCCAACTTCTCTTTGCCCGCCCAGAATAAGGGGCCCCATCGGGGACCGCCGCGGATTCCCCCAGCGGCCAGCGAACCTCATGATGTCAGAGAACGGGCCGGCCCATTGGCCCCCAGGGGGCGCCGATTGCCGGCGCGAAGAGGGCAAACTGGAGACGCGCGGCGACATGTCCGGACCACCAGCCGCGACGTGGACCTTGCCCCAGCGATTCGCGAGGCTCCGCGAGCCGCCCCCGAGGGGGGCGGGCCCGCGCCCGCCGTCGTCGACGACGCTGGCAAGGGCGAGGCGCCCGAGCGCAGGATGCCACGGGTTCAAGAGCTGGCGCAGCTCGAAGGGCCTCTCATCCTGAGACCGACGTCTGGGGGACTGTTCGCGCCCCCCGCGGTCTGGTTTCCAATGCTACGCGCGCTCCGTGTCTCTGACGCGCCCCAGCTCGCCACTGTCGACGACGCGCTCTGGGCGATAGTGCCGCGCGCGCGGTTGCGAAGAGCGCCCTCGTTGCCAGCCGCGCCCGCGCGCGTGCAAGACGCGGGGCGCCCGCGCGCGTCGGCTTGAACGACGGCGGCTGATTCGAGACTGCAGTTCCGCGCGCGCGAGGCGCGCGCAATCCTTGATCCCCCCTGGGCCAGGAAGGGGCCATGGTCGAGCTCGGCCGAGGCATTCGCTTCGTCGACCAAGTCATCGAACTCAAGGCGGCGGGCCACCCGGCCGTCGACGGAGATAAGAGCGCGATGCCCGCGAACAAAATAATGCAAGCGGTCGCTTAGCACACTTGCTTGCAGGGCGCGCCCGAGGACTCGCGCAATGGGCTTCGACGCGCCGGCGACAATAAATTCTACCGAGCCTGCCGCGAGAACGCCCCCCTCCCCATGGTCGCCAGAAAAGCGCGCCTCGCTCTGCGGGAGCTCCAGCGCCCAATGGGGGGCAGCTCGCGAACGCGTCGGACCAATGCTTGTCTTTCTGTCCCCGTGCCCGCGCCGCCCGTCCCGGCGCGGGCCCCCCCTTGCGCCAGCGTCCGCGCCTTCTGTCCTGGCGCGGGCCCATCCTGCCTCGAGACAGTCAACGTCGCCCGCCGCGGAAGTTAGACGCCTGGGCGGGCGAAGGCAGGGCGAGCAAGCTACCCGAGAATGGCGAACTCCGGGGGGCCATTGTGGGCGGGGCCAAAATGGGTGCGTGCGTGTGTGTGCGTGTGTTGTTTCAAGGGGGCGCGCCCTAGGGCATGCAGCCCGGCCTCGAAGGCCGCGACGCGTGTGGGGGGCCAGCTGGCTGCGCCGATCGCGCCGCCAACGTTCGAATCCTCGCAGAACAGATCGTTGCGCGAGCGCGACGGGTAGTCGCGACGAAGTGTTTCGACGCCACTGCCTGTTCCATGCGACCCGTGCGCGCGTGATAATGTGCATCGCGAGGGGGGGGGGGGGCATGTTCGATTGTTATATTTGACGAGGTCCTCATGTACACCGTTGACGAAGGCTCGGGCCTTCCAGGTGCTGACCGATTAGGACTGCTCGATATTGCACTTGCATTCGTCGCGATGGGCCGCGACGTTGTCGGGGGCGGCAGCGCGCGCCTGGGGGGGGGGGCTGCCGAGCTTTCAACATGTCCCATCGTCTCGACAAGCGCCGCATATAGAATGACGAAAGGGCATAGAACTAGAATTACTCGCTGCGCGGAGCCCACAATATGATAATCCTTTTTTTTAAAAAAAAAAATAATGTGTAAGTGGGATATTTAAATGAACGCCTAGCCATATGAACCATATGTGCATCTCATATTGTAGGGTAGTGCTATGGCGAACATATGTCTATGACGGCTGTGTTATAAGAGCGCGTCTACGTGAGTGACGAACACAAACTTGGAAAACACCACGGAAAGAGAAACCGACATCCCACGGTGATACAAGCTCCGCGCCAGCAGCGCCTGGTCACTCCTTCTGGACCACCGTACGCAACAGGGATAACCACCCGGGACACAACGCAAAAGCAGAACACACGCAAACCGCTAGAAACATCCCCACCCAATGGCGACGAACGCAGCCGTGAAAACACCCTTGGCAGCTCCCCTTAGGTAGCTGAAACCAGCGCCCCGCCTGAAACATCCTCACAATCTGCTATCCAAACAAAAAATGCTAAAACAGAAAACATGCAACCGCTTGAAACATCCCACAAAACGGCCGCGAACGGGACCGTGTCATACCCCTCGGCGGTTCCCCTTGGGGGTGCTGAAACCAGCGCCCCGCCTGAGACATCCTCACAATCTGCTCTCCAAGCGAAGGATGGTGGGACAGAGAACAAGCAAACCGCTTGAGACATCCCACAAAACGGCCGCGAACGGGACCGTGTCATACCCCCTGGCGGCTCCCCTTGAGGGTGCTGAAACCAGCGCCCCGCCTGAGACATCCCCACGATCTGCTATGTGAAGCGGACACTGAAAAAGGTCTAAATATGAGTAAGTCTGGGTATGAGTGAATCTCAGCATGGGTGAGTCTGAATACGAATAGGTCAGAGTATGAGTAGGTATGAGTAAGCGTAAGTCAATATGAACAGGTCTGAGTATGAAGAATCCTGTGTATGAGTAAGTCTGTGCATGGGCCAATCTAGGTATGAGGAGGAGGAGGAGGAGAAGAAGAGGAAGGAGGAGTAGGAGACGTCCAAGTAATAACAGGAACCCCCTCTCAGGATATGGGGAGACAAAATCAGCAGCGCTGGCGTCGTCTGAGCCAGCGGTAACGCCAACCTCAGTCGATCTCTGGTCTGGAATGTCTTTCTCGTGCTATGCATGGGCTATGGCGGCGGGGAGATCCTGGGTCTGCTCCCTGGCGAAGCGATTCTGGGGAGGACATCCTTCTCCACGTCGACAAGTACCTCTTCCTCCGTCCAAGAAGACATTTGCATTAAGTTGATCGGCCTGTTCGTTCACGATGGTGCAACAGACGCCCTGGTGTTCGTTCCACGCGAGCATGGCTTTGGACATTCATGTATTCTTGACCCTGAGGACTGCGCAGATCTAATTCCAGAGCAGCCGAAACATGCAAACTGTCTTCTTAATGTCGTACGGCTCGTCAAATACGACTCTGGGGCTACACCTGCTGCCCGAAGAGGGATGGGTAAAACACATGAGTTAGCCCCTTGCCTTCTCGTGGCAAGCACGAGCGACGGTGGAGTCATCGACTTCGATGGCGCACGCAAACAGGACTCTGAAAAAGAGAACGCGTTTCACGGGCCCTTGCCTTGGGAACATTCGGCGGCGCGTTTCAAACCGGGGGGGTCCCCCCCCCAACACTCTGCGCCGGAGCTGGCGCCGGCAACGGCGGGGCCGCAGCAACGATAACCACCACTACCACCACCACCACTACCACCACCACCACCGCCTCAACCCACCACCACCACCAACAACCCACCACACAACCACCACCACCACCACAGCCACCACCACCACCACCACCACCACCACTACTCACCATCACCACCACCACCACACAACCCACCACCACTACCACTACCACCACCACCACCACCACAATCTACCACGGCACCACCACCACCGCCAAAACCCCCACCGCTACCAGCAGCACAACCCACCACCACCACCACAAACCACCACACCACCACCACCACCGGACCACCGCCACCACCACCACCACCAGCACCACATCCACAAACCACCGCCACCGCCACCACCCACCACCACCACCACCAAACCACTATGACACCACCACCAAACCACCACCACCACAAGCCACCACCACCACCACCACCAGGAACCACCACCAGAAACCACCACCAGAAACCACCACCAGAAACCACCACCACCCCACCACCACACCACTACCACCTCCACGACCACCCACCACCACAACCACCACCACCACAAACCACCACACCACTACCACCACAACCACCACCATCGCCACCATTGTTACCGCCACCACCACCACCACCACCGTCGTCCTCGTCGACCCTGACCGCCGCCGCCGCCCGCCGTCGCCGCAGGCGCCGGCGCCGGCCCAGAAAAGGAAATCGTCGTCCCCGCCGCCGCCGCCAGCCTAGGAGAGGGAGAGAGGAGATGTAGGAGGGGAAGGGGGGGGGGGGTCGAACCCCCCTCTCCCCTCCATCCAGGGGGGGGGGTCCGGTTCCAACCCCCCCCCCTCCAAGCGACCACAGAACGCGCTCTTTCTGACATATGGGACGGCACGTGTTGCTGTACTGGTCCGGCATGTTTGGTATGACGATGCTGCAATGCCGCTCTCTCAATCGACGTCGGGCTGTCTTTTGGGAAGATCTGCAACCCAATTCTGAATCTTGCCCGCAAAGATGGTAGGCCCGATCGCAGGTGCCGACCAAGTAGTGCCTGCAGGAGAGCGTCGAGTCCTTGCTGAATATTGCGCCCGGGTTCCGCGCAATTGTTCACATGTTTTGGAGCCCAGCAGCTGCAGAGCAAGTGGCCGCAAATTCGCTATTGTTTACTCTGGCGCTACCTCCGTGTGGCTGGCCTGCACTGTGAGCTCCGAGACTGTTCACCCGACCGCCCTGTTTCAATAGGGAAGTTGTCATACTCTCAGTCATGCGAAAGTTATGTTTGATCTCATCTATGAACGTCGCGTCCAAAGACTTGACGTTCCCAAGGGTCCTGTTCAGAGAGTCGCGCATGTCGTTGGTCTTGCTGCTCGTCGGAGCCATTGGGTCGTTCAATAGGAGCCGCAAAACAACATAATCCATGATGACCAACGGCGCTGTAAAATGCGAGCGGGAAACGGAAATGTGGCCGCTCGGGCAGCTCACCACAGGGCTCGAACATGCAGAGGGACTCCTGGCGGAAGCTCGCACAGTCCCACCGGCAGCGTCCGAGTCCGAATAATCAGGGACGCACTTATCGAGGTCGAGTCGAATTGATTACGGAAAAAAGTTAACGACGATGAGGATTAGTAGGGGGAGGGGCAGGAGGAGGAAAGGATCGAGGATAATGTAAAGAAGGGGTGAGGAGGAAAAATATTCAAAGACACGATCCCCAGAACTGTGCGCATTGGCGAACCGCAGTGCGAACGTCCTGCAGGCGCACCAACTCTTTTCTGCTCCCCCCATCCTCTGACCCCAGGACGTGAAACATGTTTTGGGGCTGGAGTGAATGGAGGACTCGGATGGCCCACGCCGGACGTAAGAAACCGACGAGGGCAAGTGGGGAGCGCCGAGGGTGGAATGAAAGGCGGGAGCTTCCCCAGCCCCGCCTTTTCCAAGGACAGGGGAACGGAGTACACGTGTCGGTCTCCCTTTCCTTGTGGCCCTGGATGGTCTCCTGGCGCCCTCCACCACCAGCATCCCGAGTGGTGGTCCACTCGTCCTGGTGCCCCCTCCCACGCAGCGGCTCATTAAGCCTGCCTCCCCCCCCCGCGCCACCCTTCCACTCCCCCAGTTCCCTCCCACTCAGTGCCGCTAAGCCTCCCCACGTTCCTCCTCCTCCCCGTTCCCCTCCTCCATCCCGTATCCATAAAACAACTCCTGCCTGAAGTATCTCCAGCAAGCTGGGAATATCGCCCCAGACCTCCCCACCACTTACGACCCTGAAGCTTGCCATTGACCACCGCTTCAATGAATGAGGGCGGGTCCTACGTATTCAAAGCGACGCTCTCGCTTTAGCGCCGCGCACATTCGCCGTGAAAGTTTGCAACAGCTTCAAGGATGGAGGACGGGTGGGGTTCAAACTTGGGCTCTAGCCTCAACGCCGCGCGAATTCGTCTCAAACGTTTGCAGCAAGTTCAAGGGTGGAGGGCGGCTGCTGTTCAAATGTGGCTCTCGCCATAGCGCCGCGTACGTTCGTACCACCAAACCAGGTTCACTAATGATGGGCGGGTGGTGTTCACAATGTTGCTATCGCCTTAGCGCCGCGCACATCCGCCTTGAAGTTTTGAGCAATTTCAAAGGTGGAAGGCACTTATGTTTCAAAGTGTGGCTCTCGCCCCCCAGCGCCTCGCACATTCGTCTTCAAAGCTTGTAGCAACTTCACGGATGGAGAACGGGCTGTGATTAAAATGTGGCTCGCCTCAGCGCCGCGCACAGTCATCCCAAACGTTTGCAACACGTTCAAAAATGGAGGGTGGTTCTGTTACACCATGTGGCTCTCGCGCGCGCATTCCTATCAAATGGTTGCAGCAATTTCAGGGTGCGTGGTGTTGAAGTCCCGAGAACGGTGTTCTGGCACGGTGTGGTGCTGTCTGGGCGCGACAGTCACGTTGATTCGCTGTGTTGGAGTCCCAGGGGTGGTGCTCTGATGCAACTTAGGATCGCCAGGGCGCGACAGTCACGTTGGTTCGCGGCGCTGGGATCCCAAACACATGTGTTTGGACACGATTGGGAGTCTCAGAGGGTTGTGTTTCCATGGGGAGTTTCTCGCAAATTAGCCACCGCATTGTTGTTGTTTGTTGTTGTTTTTTTGGGGGGCACCTCTGGAGACGGAGTTTAGAGGGTCTATTGCAAGATCGATGATGCGTCTTCAGTCTTGAGATTTGGATTTACACTGGTCCTCCTCCTCCTCTCCGCCCGCGTCTGGCTGCCCCGCACAGCGTGACCAGGGAAGCGGTGAGCTTGAGCAAGCGCCGCGGTCGAGGGGGACTCGGGCGGGCGGAACGCCTCACGACGATGTCCTGGCATTCCGCGCGCTGTGCAAGCAGGACGGAATGGAGACGAACTGAAAAGAGCAGGACCAGGTTCGCGTGTTGTGCTGGCAACTCGGCGATGCCGTCTCACTTCTGAGCGGGTTCCTGCCTTCAACTGCGCGGCTACTACCCTCGCCTCTGGCGGGCTTCATCCGCGCCCGAAGGTACACGCATCTCAGTTCGATTGCCGACCTGCGACCCTTTCTGCATGGCAGCCGCAACAAGTATGGTTCAGCTTGCTGCGTTGACACTTGCGTCGTGCTGCTGCTCATCTGAAGACACGTCGCGCCTCCTGGTCGCCTACCCGAGCAAAACATATACTGGGCTCTGCGCTCGACCAGATCAGAAGAGCGCACCCTTCGGCCCGCCCTGAAACGACCAGTACAAACGGATCCACCTCCCAAGATCCGCCACACAAGTTCCACTGCCCCCAGTGTGTTTGAGCGAGCAGTCTGGCGAAACGAAGTTGCCCCTCCCACTGCAGAAAGCAAGCTACCTCCGCCAGGCTGTCCAGAGAGACCAGGCATGAAGGGAGGAACTCTCGGGCAAGGGTTCGAGACCCGACGCCACGCTTGCACCAGGCGACCCAAACATTCGCAAGATCATGAGACAACAACTCGTAGCTCGAACCTCATCCCCAGCGGAACGGCGAGCATACATCGGGCGCTTGGTCGAACTTGCAGCGGGTTGCGCCATGGTTTGCACGATAGATTGTGCCATCCTGGAAACTGCGCCGTATTTCTCGCAGTGGGTTGCACCGTCCGCGTGGATGCACCATGGCTTGAGCCATACCCATAGGTTGCGCACTTGGCTGTCAGGCCTGCTACTGGTTGCGCCATCGGTTGCACACGTGGCGGGCCAAACATACACACACCTGCTACTGGTGGCCCATAGGCTGCGCACTCGGCGGCTGGACATACATCGGCCTGAAGACTGGCGTGACCAGCCTTTCGGACAGACAGTCAGCAGCTACGCTTAAGTCGGGCCTGTCCCCCTACAGGGGGATTTTCGACGAAAAATAAAAAACGACCAACAAAGAAGCAAACAAATATTAGAAAATAATCCCCAGACTATGTTTGGACTATGTTTTGACTATGTTGGGGGTATCTTTTATGTCTCGTCGAAAATCCCCCTGTAGGGGGACAGGCCCGACTTAAGGCTGCGCCCGAAGACTGAGCAACGTGAGTGACGCCCATTTCTCGGGCAGAAGCCTGTTCACGATCAATGTCCCCAGGACCCCTCCTCTGGCGACTCCTACGTCACTCGCCAACTCCTCTTCTGATCCTCCTCCTTCGCATCCTCTTCTTCAACCTCTTCCTCGTCCTGGACCTGCTTTTCGAATCGAGGCAAGCCGTGGTGGTGGGAGGGACGGCCTCCTGGCGGCCAAGTAAAGTGATCGCGTCGAAATGGGAAGGCCATCGGTCGCTGCTCCTCTCTCTCCTCGGAACCCTCGACCCCGTGAGGGAGAGGGGGGAAGGGAGGCGTGAGGGAGGGCGCAGGGAGGGAGGGAGGGAAGAGGGTGGGGGTGATGGAGGCGGCGGAGAAATCAACCAGGAACATGATGAGGGAGGGACCGTGTCTCCCCGACAAGGCAAGCGCGTCCTGCCCGAGCTTTGACACCGGGAGGCTGCCGCCCTGCGCCTCGAGGAGCTCGCCCTGCCCGAGGGGCGCAAGGACGCCTCGGCCTCCTCCTCCGCCCTGCACCCGGATCCCTCCGCCACGCTCTCCTCCTCATCTTCTCCCCCTCCTCCTCCCCTCCTCGCCTCATCCCCCTTCTGGCTGTTAGCCTCCTCCTCCTCCTCCTCCTCCTCCTCCTCGCCCCCCCAATCCACCCATCCTCCTTCATCCCTCCCCTCCTGCCGCACCGTGTCGCCCGCGCAATCCTATCTCACCCTTCGTGCTGACCAAAACCCGTTGCTCCTTCCGGTCGGGTCGGCTAACTAGGTGCTCCCCGCACCCGAAAACCTCGAGCAGAGCTGAACCTGAACGGTGTTCTTCGTTCCCAACCTACCTGTGTTGTTGGGTCCTCGATTTGAAGAGACAGCGCCCCGCGTCACCTCCTCCTCCCGCTGCCCCCCGTCCCCCCTCCTCCCTCCTCCTCCCCCTCTTCCCTGCGTTTCACCCACACAGTACAGCGCTTCGTAGCCCCATAGGGAGCTCCACCGAAGGCCCCAGTGCCACCGTCCACATGCGTCCCCCCCACTCATTACAGCGTTTCATAGGGAGCTCCACCGAAGGCCCCAGTGCCACCGTCCACATGCGCCCCCCCCCACTCAGTACAGCGTTTCGTGGCCCCATAGGGAGCTCCACCGAAGGCCCCAGTGCCACCGTCCACATGCGTCCCCCCAATCAGTACAGCGTTTCGCGGCCCCACAGGGAGCTCCACCGAAGGCCCCAGTGCCACCGTCCACATGCGTCCCCCCCAGACCGAGGGCACCAGTGCCACTGTCCACAGGCGCCCCCCCCAGTCAGTACAGCGCTTCGTGGCCCCATAAGGAGCTCCACCGAAGGCCCCAGTGCCACCGTCCACATGCGTCCCCACTCAGTACACCCACTCAGTACAGAGACCATAGGGAGGCCCCAGTGCCACCGTCCACATGCGTCCCCCCCACCAGTACAGCGCTTCGTGGCCCCGCTCCACCGAAGGCCCCAGGCCACCGTCCACATGCGTCCCCCGTACAGCGTTTCGTGGCCCCATAGGGAGCTCCACCGAAGGCCCCAGTGCCACCGTATGCGCCCCCCCACTCAGTACAGCGCTTCGTGGCCCCATAGGGAGCTCCACCGAAGGCCCCAGTACCACCGTCCACATGCGTCCCCCCCACTCAGTACAGCGCTTCCTGGCCCCATAGGGAGCTCCACCGAAGGCCCCAGAGCCACCGTCCACATGCGTCCCCCCCACTCAGTACAGCGCTTCGTGGCCCCACAGGGAGCTCCACCGAAGGCCTCAGTGCCACCGTCCACATGCGTCCCCCCCACTCAGTACAGCGTTTCGCGGCCCCATAGGGAGCCCCACCGAAGGTCACAGTGCTACCGTCCACATGCGCCCCCCACACTCAGTACAGCGTTGCGTGGCCACATGGGGAGCTCCGCCGAAGCCCCCAGTGGGACCGTCCGAGTGCGTCCTGAAACACCCAATTTGGCATCTTCACCCACCCATTACAGCGTTTCGTGGCCCCACAGGGAGCTCCACCGAATGCCCCAGTGCCACCGTCCGCATGCGTCCCGCACACCCCCAATGCGGCATTTTCACCCACCCAGTGCAGCGTTTCGTGGCCCCACAGGGAACTCCACCGAAGTGGGACCGTCCGCAAGCGTCCCGAAACACCCATTGTGGCATTTTCACCCACCCAGTCCAGAATTTCGTGGCCCCGTAAGGAACTCCACCGAAGGCCCCAGTGCCACTGTCCGCATGCGTCCCGAAAACCCAACGTGGCATTTTTTCCCACCCAACACAACGTTTCGCGGCCCTTTAGTGAGCTCCACCGAAGCCCCCAGTGGGACCGTCCGCATGCGTCCCGGAAGCCCAATTTGGCATTTTCACCCACCCAGTATAGCGTTTCGTGGCCCCATAGGGAGTTCCACCGAAGCCTCCAGTGGGACCGTCCGCATGCGTCCCGGAAGCCCAATTTGGCGTTTTCACTTACCCAGTACAGCGTTTCGTGGCCCCATAGGGAGCTCCACCGAAGCCCCCTGTGGGACCGTCCGCATGCGTCCCGGAAACCTTACTTGACACACCACTCACCCAGAACAGCGTTCCCCCCCACCCAGTGCAGCGCTTCGTGGCCCCATAGGAGGTTTCACCGAAGAAGATGTTCACAATTGCGGTACCCACAACTGCATATGGTTGGGTCACTCGCCAGGATAATTTTCGTTTTGCCTTCGTTTTCCCGCAACGAAGCCGAAACGAAAACGGCCCACGAGACCACCAAAAACACTGCTTAGGTCCAGCCCTGACCTCGAGCGTGCCTCACTCCTGAGAACCCCCGGAGGCAAGAAGCCGGCAGGCTGGTCAAGAGCAGCTGCGCTCCCGCCACGGCCTGCTGGCGAGTGCAGTGCGGACCCGCGTGGCTGCCAAAGGGCCTCCGCGCGTGGCGAGGCGCCACGTGGTGCCGCGTGCGCCCTCGACAGGCCGGCGCCCATCAAGCAGGGACTCCACGAACGGTGACCCGGCCTCGGCGCCCAGTGACCCAGCGAACCCAGCCCTTCCCGACGTGGGCAGCGCTGCCCTGCCAGACGGAGGCCCGGAGGTGGCAGCTTTCGGCAACGTTGCAGAAGGACCCGTTAGCGAGTGCCCGTCACGGTGCCGTTGGCAGCCCACGCCGCGGAGCTCACCGGGAGGCGGTGGGGGGGGCAGAGAGGGGGGAGGAGGCAGGGAGCGTCCGACAGGGCACGGGCGAGGTGGGGGCACGCGGAGGGAGAGGGACGGGGCTGGGGGCAGACACGGGGAGCAGAGAGAAGCGAGAGAAAGAGAGAGAGAGAGAGAGAGAGCAGAGAGAAGCGAGAGAGACGTGGGGAGTCTTCTGAGAGGGACATCACTACTCCCGCCCAGCTGAGAAAAGGAAGAAACAGCACGGCAAGCCATCTTGAAGAGCAGCATCTCCGTCCGGTACTGCCGCGTGGCCTCGCACTGCCGCTGCTGCTGCTGCTGCTGCAGTGCCAGATGGTGGTCCTGCTGCTGCTGCGTCTGCGCCTCCTCTTTCTCACTACCTCCCCGCCTTTCTCTCTCTCCCTCCTCCACGCCCTCGGCCGCCACAAAACATCATGCCCCTGAAGGCCCAGATCCTCACCACACCGTTCTAGCAGCCGCCAAACCCTGCTGCGCTCTGGCGGGGGAGGGGGGAGCTCCCAAGGGGGGTCGAAGATCCGGCACCAGGGACGGAAGAAGCAAGTGCAAGGGAGGAGAGGACGAGGACGAGGAGGGCAAGGATGAAAGGGCCCAAGGACACACAACTAAATACACACAAATAAAAGGTTCCCCCATATTTTCCATATTTTCTGGGTTTCTGTTGTCTTCACCCCCACTTCCCATATTTTCCTATATTTTCTGGGGAATCGACGATTCATTGTCTCTGTGTGTGTGTGTGTGTTTGTGTGTGTTGTGTCTGTGTCTGTGTGTGTGTATGTTCTCCCCCTCCTGAAAGGACCGCAAGGCACTTTAGGACCCTGGCGCAGAGGGCAGGCCACCTTCTCCTCCTCCTCCTCCCCCTCCTCCTCCTCCTCCTCCTCATCCTCGGCAGCACTTTCGGGCAGCCCGCCGATCCTCCTCCCTCCTTCTCCCCCTCCACCTCCTCCTCCTCCTCCTCCTCCTCCTCCTCCTCCTCCTCCTCCCCCTCCTCCTCCTCGAATCGACCCCGCTGCCGGTGACCGGCCGCGCTGCAGCGGCCGTGCCGCTCGCGCTGCCCGGCCTGCCTCCGACGCGCCGCCTGAGGCCTTCCCTCCACCGCTCTGCCGGCGGGGGCTCGCCCGCGCCGGGGGCGAGACGCAGCAGCGCGGCGCAGCGAGGCGGAGTGAGAGGGCAGTCGGTGACTGCCTACGGCCAGAAGAGTATCCTTCAAGACCACGAGAGCTTCCGCCAGCCAGAACACACAGAACATCCAAGCGTGTCCCCCCCCCAAGGGTGCACGAGAGCATCCAGCAGACACGAAGAATACTGAAGAAATTACCCTCCCCGTGCCGACCTCGAACTTATACCTCGGCCCGACTGTATCGAACATCTATACCTCTGGGAGTGCAGTGGGATCTAAATTGACTACCCACCAGACCACCCCAACCCAACCCGAAGACCCGAATTTCGGGTCGGGGGGGGTAAGGGTTCCACGCGTGTTTTTTCGAGGAGTCCCGACCCCCCCCCTTCCCCCTCCACTAGAGATCGAGGGCAAATCTGAGCCTTCGGGTCGGGTTAGGGTGGCTTGGTGGGTGGTGAGTCAGAGGGAAGGGCGTGCCGTGCGAGGGGGTGAGCGGGAAAGGCAGGCGAGGGAGGGAAGGGAAGGGAGGCGGGAGAGGGAACGTGGCGAGGAGGAGAAGCAGAGAAAGAGAAGGAGGGGGGTGAGAGGATCATGGAAGAGCGGGCGGGGGCAGGAGGGCGGAGGGAGAAGGTGAGGAGGTCGGATGCGAGAAGGGAGTGGACAACGAAGATGGAGCATGATGAAGAAGCGCAGGATGCGCAGCATGCCTTGAGGCGTCGTGGCCTGTCTTGAGGCGGTATCCCACCAGCCCTTTGGGCGTGAGTGGTTTAGCGAGCTCTCTCTGTTCTCAACCCCCCTTCTTCCCCTTCGGGGAGCGGTTTACCCCTCCCCCTCCCCCCTCCCCCTGGACCTGGAGAGGGGGTTTCGCGGGTCGTTGGAGGGGTCTTGTTCGACTCCTGGGAGGGCTAAAATTTGACACCCCTCACGGGGATTCTGGCCCCGACGGGGGGGAGGAGAAAAGTGCTCGCCCCTTCTTTGAAGCCAAAATCATTGATTTTACTACGGTGTTGGCCCCATTTTGGGCTTCTGAGGGGGCAGCGCTAATTAAAGCTCCCCTCTTCTTTCAAGCCAAAATCATTGATTTTACGAAGGTTTTGGCCCCATGTTGCCCTTCTGAGGGGGCAGCGCTAATTAAAGCTCCCCTCTTCTTTGATCGATTTCCTCCAAGATGGCCCCAAGAAGCGCCCCAGAGGCACCAAGAGGCCCCAAGATGGCCCCAAGAGGCCCCCAGGAGGCCCCCAAGAGGCCTCCAAGAGGCCCCCAAGATGCCCCCAAGAGGCCCCCAAGAGGCCCCAAGAGGCTCCCCCGAGGCACCCAAGACGCTCCTGGAAGCCCCTGGGGCCGCCAAGAGGCCCCCAAGACGCCCCAAACGGCCTCCAAGAGGCCCCCAAGAGGCCCCAAGAGGCTCCCCCGAGGCACCCAAGACGCTCCTGGAAGCCCCTGGGGCCGCCAAGAGGCCCCCAAGACGCCCCAAACGGCCTCCAAGAGGCTCCCGAAGAGGCTCCCCCAAGGCACCCAAGACGCTCCTAGAAGCCCCTGGGGCCGCCAAGAGGCCCCCAAGACGCCCCAAAAGGGGACGAGGTGCCCGAACGCCTCACGCCACGAGGAGCCCGAACGACTCACACCAGGACGAGGGGCCCGAACGACTCACACCACGAAGAGCCCGAACGACTCACACCAGAAGGAGGGGCCCGAACGACTCACACCAGGACGAGGCGCCCGAACGACTCACACCACGAGGAGCCCGAACGACTCACACCACGACGAGGGCCCCGAACGACTCACACCACGAGGAGCCCGATGGCCCCAAGAGGCCCCCAGGAGGCCCCCAAGAGGATCCCAAACGGCCCAAAGAGGCCCCCCCGAGGCACCCAAGACGCCGAAAAGCCCATCAGGACGACCCTCTACTCGCCTGGGCGTCGTTTCTGGACGGGCAGGAGGAGGGGCCCGAACGACTCACACCAGGACGAGGGGCCCGAACAACTCACACCACGAGAAGCCCGAACGACTCACACCAGGACGAAGAGCCCGAACGACTCACACCACGAAGAGCCCGAACGACTCACACCAGGAAGAAGGGCCCGAACGACTCACACCAGGACGAGAAACCCCAAACGACTCAAACCACGAGGAGCGCTTTCTCTCCCTCCTCCTCCGCCTCGTCCTTCTCCCGCTCCCACCACAAGGAGGATGTACAAGAAGGTGGGAGGAAGGAGGAACAGGGGAGATATGCGGGGGCAGGCGGAAACACGCCTGAAAAACACGACTGTCGGCATGCTTCGCTAGAGTTGCTGTTTTGAGATGGGCTGGTGGGGATACGCGAAGCGTGAAGAATTTGAGGCCTCTTATAAGACACCCGGAAAACCGAAGAGATGGATGCCCTCAAACCATATAACAAACCATAAGGCGATGACCATTGGTGTCGTTTGAAGAGCCCGTTGGGAATCTTCCGTCTTGGGGCATCACGCAGGTTTCTGACGCAAGGTCGGCAGCACCAGCCGTAAGGCCTTCGCAATCTGACCAAAAAAAATCCCCGGACAACCCCCTGGACAACCCGGACAACCCCTCTAAGATGCATACCACAAGCGTCCCAACATGTGATTGTGGCTGGCGCTCGAGCGGTAGCATAATACCCACACAGAGATGCGGGCGGCGCTGAGGCGAGAGCAATACGCCTAACGATGAGGGATGCGGCCAGCGCAAAGGCGACAGCACCAACTCCAGACAGGGATGTAGCGAGAGCTCGGGCGAGAGCACCATTCCCAATCACGGATGGTGCAAAAGACGTAGTCGGCGTTGAGGCGAGAGTACCGTTCCAAATCAGGGACGTGGCCAGCGCGCAGTGTTGTGAGGACGTCTCAGACGGAACTGGCCAGACCAGCTCTCGCGCGGCATCTCCGAACCCAGAGCTGTGAGGATGTCTCGGATGAAACTGCCTGGAACACCTCTGGTCAGGGGACCTCAGAGCCCAGAGTTGCGAGGCTGTCTCAGGCGAAACTGGCCAGACAACTTCGTGCGCGGCTTCCTTGAGCCCAACATCTGGAGGAAGTCTCGTGCGATCTGGCCGGACCATCACAAGATAGAGTATGCAGGGGCGGGTAACGAAAAGTGTCGCCCTTCTTCTCACAGCCGGCGCGCCGTGAAAGGGATGGAGCTCGGGGCAGTAGGGATGGGGGGCGGAGGACCAGGCGCGCAGAGGCGAGCTGAGCTCCCTACGGTGCGCGATCCAGCAGAGAGGCGCGCCGACGTGGCGTGGTTCAGGGCCGCATTTATGGGCTCCCACTGAAACCCGAGGTGGAGCTCCCGATGGGGCGCGATCCCCATGGCGCCACGATCCTCTCCGGGGATGCGCTGAGATGAGCGGCGCCGCCGCCATGCGGACCCTCCCGCTGGGGCCGTAGGTGGGGCTCCCCATGACGCCACGACTCCCTCGAGGGTTTCCCGAAGTTGGATCGGATGAGCCATGCGGACTCTCCCACTGGGGCTGAAGGTGGGGCCCCGCATGGGGCCACGGTCTTGGGGAGGAGTGTGATAAAGTTGGCCCGCGCACGCTTTTCAACCTCCCCCACTGGCGCGGCAAGCGGAGCTCCCACCGGGGCCACGAAACGCGTGAGGGGTGTGCCGAGATGGGGGGGCGGCCACCCTGCTAATGCCCTCACTTGGGCCGTAGGAGGACCTCCCCAGCGAGCCACGGGACGCGTGAAGGGCGCGCCGAAATGGGCGCGGCGCCGCTGTGCGGCCGCCCTCCAGAGGAGTCCCCGTGTGAGGGGGAGGAGGAGGAGGAGGAGGAGGAGGAGGAGGAGGAGGAGGAGGAGGAGGAGGAGGAGGAGAGGAGGAGGAGGAGGAGGAGGAAGGAGGGGAGAGGAGGAGGAGGAGAGGAGAGGAGGAGGACGAGGAGAGAGGAGGGGAAGGAGGAGGGAGGAGAGAGGAGGAGGAGGAGGAGGAGGAGAAAGGAGGAGGATGAGGAGGAGGAGGAGGGCTCGAGGCGCGCGAGAGGCGTGCCGACCTCAGCAGGGCGCCGCCCTGCGGGAGCGCTCTCGGAGGCCGCAGGTTGCAGATCCCCGGGGGATGCTCGAAACGTGTGGGGGAGGAGCCAGCCTGAGGCCTGCCGCGTCGTCGAGGGCTGCGCAGGCCGCGACTCCATGTGAGACGCGGTCACCCCTGGCCGGACAGGAGATCTGATCCAGGCCTCCCTCCTCTGCCTCCTCCTCCTCCTCCTCCTCCTCCTCCTCCTCCTCCTCCTCCTCCTCCTCCTCCCTCCTCCTCCTCCTCCTCCTCCTCCTCCTCCTCCTCCTCCACCTCCTCCTCCTCCTCCTCCTCCTCCTCCTCCTCCTCTTCGGACATCCGATGGCCCGATGTTCTCGAGCGCCTTCCTGGCGGCCGGCCGGCCCCGCCGCGCTCTTGCGCCGCGTCGCTGCCAGGTGGGTCTCCTAGCCGAGGGGACGGCTCCGCCGTGGAGGCCGGGCCCGGACCCGCCCGGGGGGAGTGCTCGGGGGGCCAGCCCTGGGCGCGGCAGCGTGCAGCCCACCCGCTTCCACCAGGACGACTCCGTTCGACACCGCGTCCGCGGGGTATCGCTCGCTTCTGACGCCGAACAGCTGCGCTTGGACACTGCCGCTGCCTGCGCCGAGAAGGCGCTGCCGCATCGACAAGGGTTGTCCTCGAAGCAACCCACGTGTTCGGAACCGCCGGGGTCTTTGGAGTCCCGAAACGGTGCGGTGACAGACCGTGCGGTGACTTCGAAATCCCCCAAGACCTCACCGCAGGATCCGTCACCGCACTGTCTTGGGACCCTGGAGGCCCCTGTCGCCCGATACATCCTCGGAGAACGACTCGAGTCCCAAAACCGTGCGGTGAGCCAGAATCCCCACTGACTCACCGCACGGTGTGGTCACCACCCCGTTTGGGGGCCCCCGAGGGTCGTACACAGCTGGCTGCTCCTCGCTGATGTCCGGCGCACATGGTAGCCAGGCGCGGCGGCGATGTCCTACGGGCAAGGGTAGCCCTCGGGCCTGCCTGCACCCACGAGGCAGCCTGGGACCTAGCAGACCTAGCAGAGACGCCGCCCAATGATGATGATGATGATGATGATGATGATGATGATGATGATGATGATGATGATGATGATGATGATGATGGTGATGATGATGATGATGATGCCAAGCGCCCGGTCGCTATCCGCCGTGCCACCGGGCATGGATGCCGCCACCGTCTGCGACGCGAGGCGAAACTGTGCAAACTTCTGCCCTGGCAGAAGCCAAATCAGGCTAAAAGGAAGCATCCTGGCCAGAACGTTAGACCGCATCCCGTTGGTTGCACCGATGGTTGCTCCGACATTTGTAACGATAATTGTCCCGATGGTTGTTCCCATGGTTGTCCCCATGGTTGTCCCGATGGTTATGTTGTAGCGGCAGGTGTATCCCTCGCAGCAGCCCGCGTTTGCAAGGCAACTGGGCTCGTAAGCGATTGGCAGCCCCGTGCAGGTAGTCGACACCTGGCAGCCGTCCAATTCGGGGGTGCTGCAATAGAACCAGGGGCAGTCCTCGAAGCAACCCGCGTCGGCGACGCAGCTGGGGTCGCGGAGGACTGGCTGTCCCGTGCTGATGACTGGCGCCAGGTAGCCGCCCGCCGTGACGCTGGGATCGCATGCGGCCGCACCCGTGCTGATGCCTTGCGCCTGGTATGACTGCCTACCAGACCACCCCAACCCAACCCGAAGACCCGAATTTCGGGTCAGGGGGGGGGGTAAGGGTTCCACATGTGTTTTTTCAATGTTTCCTGACCCCCCCCACTGGAAATCGAGGGTAAATTTGAGCCTTCGGGTTGGGTTGGGGTGCTTTGGTGGGTGGTGATGGTAGCAGTCCGCCGTGGAGCTGGGCTGTGACGCCGACGCCTTCTGCGCGAGGGGCGCGCGGCCGTCCCGGCGGTGGCAGCCCTCGAAGTACCCCACCCCAACGGGGCGACAGGGATCGCAGACGTTCGGCAGCCTGGCGATGATGTCCAGTATCTGACTACCTACCAGGCCACCCCAACCCAACCCGAAGACCCGAATTTCGGGTTGAGGGGGGTAAGGGTTCCACATGTGTTTTTTCGAGGTTTCCCGACCCCCCCCCACTGGAAATCGAGGGTAAATCTGAGCCTTCGGGTTGGGTTGGGGTGGCTTGGCGGGTGGTGAGTATCCGGGCGGGGTCCAGCGTGGAGATCGTGTCGTGTCGGCAAGAATACCTCACGAAGAAGCTCAGACCTGCCGGACAACTGAAGTCATAAACGATCGGCAATCCCGCGCTACGAACCGTAAACCAATAGCCTTTCGCCGCGATGTTGATTCCTCGACCGGGCCACTCACAGGGCTCCGTGCAGGCTGAACCGCAGGACCAAGGCCCGAGGGGATTACCATCGAGGAGGGTTGAGGCAGGAGGGCGGCCCGCCAGGGAGATGCCCCCCAGCGGCCAAACAGCAGGGCCGCTGGCGAGCGAGGCACCCACAGAGTCCGCCTAGGCTGCCCCTGACACCCGCTCCGACATGAACACGGGTGGCTATGAGACGGATCGACCCCCGCTGTGGACGGCCTGTGTCTGGAAATCTGCGGCCACTACCGCGATGTGATCAGCGCTAGACGGTTTGGCCGTCTGCTCCCTGTGGCGACGTTCATGCCTTTGGCCTTGGGAGACTTGAGCAGCTCGTTGATGGCACCCTTCAGCTGGTCTCCAAAAGGCGGAGGACTGCGTCCACCTTCGTCTCCAGCGTCTCGACAGTCTCATTGACTTTTGCTTGGCCTTTCTAGTCCTCCATCGGCACTACTTCGAGGCCTCCATCTGCATTACTTGGGTACGCATGCCTCGACTTCTGGCGCCAACGTCCGTTACGTCATCCGCTCCTCCACTTGTTCGGCTGCTGCTCCTGCTCCATCAAGCCACGTTGTAGCTTGGCCTCAAATGTTCGGCCCTCTCCAATACGATTTGTCCAACTCTGCCAAGCGAGCCCGCGTCCGCCACATCCGCGACGTCCCACATCTGCTGCCCAGCAAGTCGCTGGTGCACGCCTGGAAATGCTTCCCACCAGCGTGCAAGGCCTGCTCGCTGCTGCGCCTCCCCTGCCACTCCGGTGGCGATAGTTTCGTCGCCGTGTTCGACGGCGCAGTGTCAAGGCCTGCCCACGACCGCATGCCGAGGCTTCGAGCGGCCCTTCGCTGGCATCGCGCTCGCGTCCACCAGCCCGGCCTGGGCCGCCGAGACCTGCTCCACCTCTCGCCATCGCTCGGACGTCCATTCCCTGTGTTGTTTCGGTTTCGTGCGTGGTCCATTCGCCAAGTGATCAAGGATGCTCCTCGACTGTCCTCGCCGATGGAAAAATGCACGCGTCCGAGCGATGCCAAGACCTTGGCCTCGACGCCTTCGGGCGCGCCCCGTGGCGGTGCTGTGCAGCACGCGGCGGTGCCTGCGCTCTTGGCGAAGTTCGCCGTGCCCGTCGCAGAGCCGCCGCCCCCGTCGCCCGCGAGCGGCGAGGCACGGGGCGAGGCGGCCTCTGCGCGAGCAGAGCCGGGATCCACTCGCGCGGGAAGAGGCGATCTGGAGAGGATCGCTTACGCGATGCCCGAGGTGATCCGGAGGTGATGTCGAATGAATGTCACTCCAGACTTCGTAATGAAAGGGAGGGGGTCTGGATCCTCCAAGACAAGCCATTTCAGACCTCCCCCGTGGGGGAACCCTCCAAAACATCGTTCCCAGACCCCCCCAGGCCCTCCAAGATAGCCTGGAAGAGACCCCCCTCCGAAATGAGACCCCCCTCCCTGTATTACGAAATCTGGAGTAGCCTCCCCAGGCCAGGCTCCGTGGCGTCGTGGTCGTGGAGGCGCGGACTGTCGTGCAGGCCACCCGTGCTCAGAAGCGACGGTGCCGAGCGCCCGCCCGACGGCAGCAAGAGAGCTGCTGGGGCGCGCCCACGTCTCGTCGCGTTGTCGCTCAGTCGCATGTCGCCCGCGTTCGTCCCTTCAGGTGCGCAGCCCTCAGCAATGGGCAACCACGACTGTCATATGGGGGCCACTTGCGAATCCTACCCCTGCCCCCACAAGTGCTGAGGGGGAGCGTGGGGTTCACTTCGCTCGGGGCCCTACGTCACGCACGCAGCCGCCGCAAACACGATGGTCACGGCATGATGTCCACCACCTGCCACGCCCACGGCCGCGGTAATCCAAACGCAAAGTAAACCCGGCGGGGCCCAAACGGGCTGCGGATTCTGCATCCCCTCCCCTCCCTCCACACATCCACCAATCACGTTCTGCGTCCACGTCCTCCTTCAAGGCCGCATCCGACTCGTCCTCCTCCTCTTCCTCGCCAATCTGGGATCGAGGGCCACCTCTGTTCAGGATCTCTCTATGCATCTGGCCACCTCTCAGCCTGGATAATCTATGCATCCTCCCAATCGAACCCCACTGGAGTGCATCTCAGCCCTGCCTGCCGCTGTGAGGTTGGACACAACAGGGCGCCTCGTCCAAAGGTGGCCCCTTCATGTGCTGTCGCCCGGGGCTGATATAGAGCGTCGGCTGGCTCTTCCCGTTATTGCTTTTGCCCTGCTCGGAAAACAGGCGATGGGAACGGGAGGGAACGACAGAGAGGAGGAGACGTTGCGGGTGGTGGCCAAGTATGAGCGCGCTTGCACTTCGCAACATGCAAACCCAGAAACTGACATCAATGCCTGCCCGATTGTATGCAATGCGGGCAGAACAAACATACCACGCGCACACATGTTCCGTACTGTGCAGAAGTGATGCTCGACCGAAGCCGTGACTCGGACCAGCCGAAGAGTCCAATTGAAGAAGCCAGCGAGCGCAACTAATAAACGCGGAGCCAGTCTTCAGCGTCAGTGGCAGCTTGGGAAGGGCATGAAGATGAATGCGAGACACACGAGGACGACGAACCGACGATGAGTGAGTCATTCACGAAAAGGGCAATTAACGGGGACTAGACGACGTGCGAGGATGGGAGCCCGCATATGCTGAGGGGATGGGGATCATAGTCCACTAAGACGCGCACGCATGAACATGTGAGTTTGCGGCATGAAATGTCTTGGCAAGAACTCATGAAGGTAATGAAGACGACGACCGTGATGAAAATCACGAAACGGGAGAAGCTCAGGAGAGAGGGGACGAGGAAGACAAGGCGAAGAAGGATACAGATGAGGCCGATAAGAAGAACGAGGGAGCGGAATGAGGACCTTGGGGAGAGAGCAGGGCAAGACGAGGCGACGAGGATGACGAGGAGAAGCAGAATGACGCGGGGGGGCACCACGATGCGAGCAGGAAGCGGGCGGACGAGAGGGGAGACGAAGGGGAAGGGAAGCGACGAGGTCGCTGGGGAGAAGGACGACGGGGGGGGGTGGACAGACGACTGAAGACGAGGACGAGAATGACGGGGACATCTGGGTGCGGCGGGTCCCCGAGGGGGCCCTGGCGTCCAGGGGCAGCTAGGGAACAACGGACGAGCACGATACGTTCTCCTACAGTCGGGGCGTTGACCTAAGGAACCCTAAATAAGGAACAAGGCCCCTTTTTGTTCCATCAGTTCTACTTCTGTTCCCCATGGAAAACCAAAGGAAAGCCTGTGGCGAGCTGGGAAACAATCGAGGAACACCGAGCCCCCCCCCAACGAAAAGGGTTCCTTCTTCAGCGCCCCGAATGTACAACCTTCCGCGACATCTGGCGCACATGTGCTCTGCGACGCGGCGGCGCCCCACGCCCCCCCACTGTCAACATTCGCGTCGAAACTGGCGACTTCTGTGCTTCGTCGGACAACGCGGGCCGCGTGGCGCGCATCGCCGAACATTGTTTTCTGGGGGGGCGGGGGGGGGGGGGAACACAACTTGCGTTCGACTTCGAGGAAGGTTGACGGTCTCCCGCGCCTCCTTGCGGCAGGTCCCGCGGCATCGGCGACGCCGACGGCAGCGACGACTGGGGCTCAAGGAGGGCACACCGAAAGGGGGGCTCGACCTGGGGCCCACTGTCGCCTGCCGCGCTGCCTCGCGCACCGCCCCGAGAGCTGGCGGACTGCGCACGTGCGCCGGCGACCCCCTCTGTCCACCGGCGCGCACCCCTTTTGCAGTCAACGACGCCCATTCGAGAAGTACCTGCTGGGGATGCACGGTTTTCCCCCGGGGCCGTAGGCGACCCGAGGAGGAGGAGGGGGAGGTGGAGGAGGGGGAGGGGGAGGGGGAGGAGGAGGAGGGAGGAGGAGGAAGAGGAGAAGGAGGAGGAGGAGGAGGAGGACGAGGAGGAGGACGAGGAGGAGGAGGAGGACGAGGACGTGGACGAGGAGGAGGAGGAGGAGGAGGAGGAGGAGGAGGAGGAGGACGAGAAGGGGCTGGCGGGCGCGGCGCTCGTCCACCGCGCGCATATCTGGCAGACGCGGAGAACCCCTGGTGCGAGCCGCGAGCCGCGCGGGCGCCGCGACCCGGACCCGGAGGCCCGCGGAAGCGCCGGGCAGCGCCTCGGGAGCGCCTGGGGCTCGCTCGCACGCGCCTGGGGGGCGTAATGCGGGACGACGATTAATAAAAAGATGGGAGAGAACGATTGAAAAAATAGTTTCCTGAGATGTCTGCACCATTTTCTGGCTGGAGGAGAACGCTTATTAAAAAGTGTTCCAGCCCGCGGCCGGTTTTTTCTACTCGTCATCCCGGGCGCCGCCGCGTAAACACGACCCCCGGTCATTTATTAATCGTCATCCTCCATGCGGGATGACGATGAATAAACAAAATGGGGGGGAACGATCAAAAAAAAAAAAGTTTTCTGCTATTTCTGCACGATTTTCTGACTGGAGGAGAACGCTTATAAGAATAGTTTTCCAGCCCGCGGCCGGTTTTTTCTAATCGTCATCCCGGGCGCCGCCGCGTGAACACGACCCCCGGTCATTTATTAATCGTCATCCTCCATTATGGAAACCCTTGGCTTGAGCAGGGGCGAGGTGTTACGACCTTGGGTCCGTCCAGACACGCATGCCCGACGATCCCGACAGATTCTGGCCAGTAGCTCCCCTGCGTAGACGGTGGTCCCGAGAACTCCAAATACGAATTCCCTTGCGATCCCGGTAGCCAGTAAGCCAAAGCATCTCGCGGACACGAATCACCAACAACAGTCGTACCTTACATTGCATTCAAAAGCGCAACTGACTTGAAAGTGTAGATGGTGTACATTCTAAAATTGATGGCGCCATGGTGATATGTTGGTGACATGAGATATGAGCGCGCGTGCATGAAACATGGGTCTGGGCACTAGGAGGAGGGCGAGGTGGGGGAGGGGCAGGATTAGGAGAAGGATGAGGTGGGAAAGAAAAAAGGAGGCGGAGCAGGGGAAGCAGGAGGAGGGGGAGGGGAAAGGGGGGATGGGGGGCGCTGCCGCCTCGACTCCCTCCCAGCGGGAGCGCGCGCAGTAGCAGCAGGAAGGAGAAATGAGGACGAGGACGATGATGAGGGATGAGGATGGAAGTTGGAGAGGATGAGGATGAGGAGGATGAGGGGATCAGGATGGGGACAGGAAGGATGAGGATGAGGATGAGGATGAGGATGAGGATGAGGCGCGCTTGTCTCGAAACCATACGCCGTACGGTGTTTGTGCTGGCGTCGGCGCTGGCGTAGGCGCTCGCGGCGGTACTGCGGTGCGGGTGTGCCTCCTTCCGCCTCCTCCTCCTCCTCCTCCTCCTTCTCCTCCTCCTCCTCCTCCTCCTCCTCCTCCTCCTCTTGCTCCTCCTTGGGCCCCATCCCCTCACCCTCCTCCTCCCCCCCCCGTTCTTCGACGAGGAGGGGGGTGATGAGGACGATGATGGAGGAGTAGAGGATGAGAAGGGCGAGGGGGAATAGGATGAGGGGGAGGACTGAGAGGACCCGGAGGATGAACAAGGAAACCTAAAGAAACCGACCAGTGGCTGGACTGGACGGGCTGGACGGCCCAAACTGGCCGAGGCCCAATCGGGGCCGGGAGGACGACGCAGCACCACATTCCATGGAATCTACTTCGTGTCCACAATGATCGGGAGCGGCCAAGAGGGGGGTGTCCAGGAGGAAGGGGTGCAAATCATGACCGGCGGCATGTGCGCGGCCCAGCGGGGGGGCCAGGGACGTAATAAATTATGCCAGTGCGACCCGACCTAGGAGTTGGAGCCTCTAGGAGAGCAACATTAATAGGAGCTGTAAACCTATGCTATGCTATGCTATGCTGCGCAATGCTATGCTGGGCTGGGCTAGGCTAGGCTAGGCTAGGCTAGGCTAGGCTATGCTATGCTATGCTGCGCTATGCTGTGCTGCGCTATGCTATGCTATGCTATGCTATGCTATGCTATGCTTTTGCGTTGCCTTCGCTTTTGCCTTCACTTTTGCCTTTGCTTTTGCTTTTACTTGGCACCCTGGGAGCGTCACTGGGGGAACCGCGCGTTTGCTTTTACCTTTGCTGTTGCTTCTGCTTGCTCCCAGGGGACCGGGGGAACCGCCCGGGGCGCGTATCACTGCCCGGCCCTTTACGCCAAGCGAGTAAGAACCCTTCTAGGCAGAGCCTAGGTAGGGAAATAAGAAGAGGCGCCATACAATCTGGGGAAAATCATGGCCCCCGCCATGATATCCACCCCCCCTAGTCAGCACCCCCCTCTTTTCCGCCCCCGAAATTAATGGGGCCACGATCCTCGAATTACTGGACCTCCCGGACACCGCCCAGGACCAGACCCCCTGGAGTCCGAAGAAACGAGCTCAAGCCCTGTAAGGGAAACACAGGTTTGAACGAATCTCCTCGGATCCGCCCCCCGGGCCCGACCTCCCGGAAAACCTCCTGGAGCACAGCCCCTCGAATTGCAAGGACGCAAGTTGCTCCCGAAATTACACGACATTAACTGCTGGGACGTCAACTGCTAGGACGCTAGTCGCCCCGAGGGGGCGATGATCGACGCCGTGGCAGCAGCGAAACCTGCGCCGATCGTGTAGGCCATCATCGCGTGGCACCAGGCGCTTGGGGTCCTGAGCAATGTCCCCGAGGGCTCCAGGAGGCTCCAGGAGGACCCAGGAGGCCCCAGGAGGCCCCAGGAGGCCCCAGGAGGCCCTCAGGCAGTCCAGGAGGCGACCAGGAACCAGGAGGCCCAAGGCGGCCCGAGGAGGGCCCTGGAATGGCTCCAGGAGGCCCCAGGAGGCCCCAAGGAGGCCCCAAGGGGGCCCCAAAGGGGCCCCATGACGCGGCCCGTCGTCACGTTACCCTGTCGCGAACCGTGCGGCACTGGTGGACCGCGGCACAGGCGAGCAAAGACGTCGGCTCGAGGGGCGGGCGCCCCGAACAGTTGCAGCGTGGACCCCGCGCAGTACGAGCACTACGAGTGGCAGCGTGGACCTCAAGCAGCGACGCACCCCAAACAGCGGCGCACACAGGAGGAGTGGCAAACGCCAGCCGCAACAGTACGGATCCCAGACAGTGACAGCGTGAACCCCATGCGATCGACCCCAGACAATTGCTGTATGGACCCCAACTGTAGCTAGGAGGAGGAGGAGGAGGAGGAGGGGGAGGAGGAGGAGGAGGAGGAGGAGGAGGAGGAGGAGGAGGAGGAGGAGGAGGAGGAGGAGGAGGAGGAGGAGGGATGGAATGGATGGATGGATGGATGGATGGATGGATGGATGGATGGATGGATGGACCCGGCATTGCGCTGTGAGTCTGAAGACACTCACCCCTCGAGCTCACGAAACGAGAGTTCGGGGACACCTCTGAACAGTCGTGCGATCTCCTCGGACCGAACGAGGTCAGGCGTGTGGGCGCGCCGTGCAGCTGTGATCACCGTGGATCCGAGCCGAGCAGGACAGGAAACAATAAAACGCCCGCAGGCGGGGGGTGCTACCCCTCTGGCCCCTGGGGGCCGAGCTCGACGGCGCGGAGAGCACCGAGCAGGCTCCCTGGACACCCCAGAGGCCCCGAGAAGGAAAAACCGGCCGAAAAGAAAAAGATACCCGACGGCGCGCCCTAGCGACCCGGGGGACAGGTTACAGCGGAAGCTGCTGGAAGAACTCCGAGACCTACACCCTTCAGTGGATGTGTGATCTCTCTTTCCGTAGGATACGTTGCCGCAACTGGTGAAGTCGGGTTTCCCATGTCAGCCCTTGCGACCGCCTTTGGTCTTTGGCCCTTCCTGGCCCGTTGTTCTGGCGGCTCCTTGTCTAGCAGCTTCTGGGCCATCGATTCCAGGAGGCCCTGAGGTGCCGCCCCCATCTTCTGGCGGCCGCCCTGCGCCTCGAGACATTTCACGAGGCTCTGTTCGAGCTCGAGCTTGGATGCCGTAGTCTCCCGAGGGCCGTCTGGGTTGTCGTTCTTCAGCGTGATCTGGTCCGCGAAAGCGTTCTGGCGGCTCTTGTCTAGCAGCTTCTGGGCCATCGATTCCAGGTGGCCCTGAGGTGCCGTCCCCATCTTCTGGCGGCCGCCCTGCGCCTCGAGACATTTCACGAGGCTCTGCTCGAGCTCGAGCTTGGATGCCGTTGTCTCCCGAGGGCCGTCTGGGTTGTCGCTCTTCAGCGTGATCTGGTCCGCGAAAGCGAACTGCACCCTGGTGTACTGGTCGTTGTAGCACTTGCGCAGCCTGAAGTGACGCACCATCAGGCAGAGCTCCGAGGCCGTCACCTTGCAAACGAACTGCTGGTAGAAGGTGCACAGGAGGAGGAGGAGGAGGAGGAGGAGGAGGAAAGGAGTGGCGAGCAAGAGAAGAGGTCCTCACTGCGCTCAGACTGGACACGCTACGGACTCCGCCGACCTCGGGCCCGAGGGAGCCTGTGGGCCTGCAATCGGCAGGGCCTGTGGTAGTTTGCATGATCGACAACATGTGGTCGTCATTGGCGCACCAATGTTGACACTGACGTGTTAATGGCTTCACATACCTAGTACTGCCTTCACATCTCTGCTTATTTCTCGAATGACTCTCCCTACTGCCGGCGCGGAAGCTCAAGGAAGGAGGTACTTGTAACGCCTCACCCCAGCTCACGCCTTGGCAGTGCCTCGAACAGCTCGGGGGCGGTTGGACCGCACCAGGAAAACCTCATGACGGGAAGCTGCGGGTTTTCACAGATCCAATTTAGATCTCAAGCATATTCGAATGCACTTCCCGTCTAGGTTATCTATAGATCTCAGGCGGTTCAATTTAGAAATTACAAACTTTGCCTTTTCCTTTTCACGTACAATTTGATGGGATCTACAATCGGACCTAGGCCAGAACAGTATCCTTCCAGAACACGAGACCTTCCGCCAGCCAGAACACACAGAACATCCAAGCGTGTCCCCCCCCCAGGGTGCACGAGAGCATCCAGCAGACACGAAGAAGATTACAGAAATTACCCTCCCCGTGCCGACCTCGATCTTATACCTCGGCCCGACTGTATCGAACATATATACCTCTGGGAGTGCAGTGGGATCTAGATTGACTACCCACCAGACCACCCCAACCCAACCCGAAGACCCGAATTTCGGGTTGGGGGGGGTACGGGCTCCATATGTGTTTTCTCAATGTGCCCCGCCCACCCCCACTGGAAACGGAGGACAAATCGGGGCCTTCGGGTTGGGCTGGGGCGTTTTGGTGGGCGGCGGTAATTGGGATCTACATGGGACCTGTGGGAATGCAGTGAGACAGCGCGCCTGGGGCCTCCTCCTCCTCCTCCTCCTCCTCCTCCTCCTCCCCCTCCTCCTCCCCCCCCACTCCTCTCCCCCTCCTCCTTCCCCACCCTCCCTTTTTCCTCTTCCCCCCTCATCCTCCCCCCCTCCTCTATCCCCTCCTCTCCCCCTCCCTCCTCCCCTCCTCCTCCCCCTCCTCCTCCCCCCCCCTCCTCCTCACCTCCTCCTTCCCCCTCCTCCTCCCCTCCTCCTCCCCCTCTCCTCCTCCTCCTCCTTCCTCCTCCCCCTCCTCCTCCCCTCCTCCTCCTCCTCCTCCTCCTCCTTCCTCCCTGAGCTCCCGCTGGCCTGCCCAGCGGGGCGCCGCCGCCCGAGATCGACCCGGCGGGC